CAGTGCGCTGGCCGCGGCGGCCATTGGAGGGTGAACCAACGGCAAAGGAAGATCTGTCTCTCTCTCTCACTGTCTACTCTGCCTGTCAAAAAAAAAAAAAAAAAAAGAGCTTTGGGTGGTAACTGACATAATACATAAGAGTGTTAATTGTTAAATTAACAACAGGAGTCACTGTGCACTAACTTCCCATGCAGGACCTCTGTCCTCAATGAGTTGTATTATGAGAGTTAACTATAAAACTTGTTCTGAGTTTTGTGTGTGCAAATTGTTGAAATCTTTACTTAGTAAAGAGTTGGTCTCCTGTGTATAAAGTTAATTGAAATTGAATCTTACTGGGGAATTGTTGAAGTTGATTTCTTCTGAGAGGATTTGTTCTGAGAGGAAGAGCGTGGTGGGGGCAAGAATCATGGAGTCACCACACAGACCCTGGGAGTTGGGTGAAAGCGGGCCAGAGGGGAGCAGCCCTCAGACTCGTTTATTTCAGTTGCTACAGCTGCTTATATAGCCAAGGCAGCCAATCCAGTCAAGGGGCAGTCTATGCCCTAACGAATCACAGCCTGTTGCCAGGCAGTTTCCAAAGCCATCCAATCATGGCCTGCTGCCAGTCAGGCTCTGTTGCCAGGCAGTTTCTGAAACCATCCAATCACAGCCTGTTGTCAGTTAGGCTCTGTTGTCATGTGGTTTCCAAAGCCATCCAATCACGGCCTGTTGCCAGGCAGTTTCTGTTGTCAGTGGCCATCTTGGCATGACCTTTTCACCTTCTCATTCCACCACAAGGAATGGGACTGGGAAGGAGAGAGGGAGGAGAAGGGGTGGGAGTGTGGGTAGAAGGGCAGATGTTGTGGGAAGAATATTATTAATATTCCTAAAATTGTACTTATGAAATTTATACTCATTAAATAAAAGGTTTCTTTGGGGGAAAAAAGAGTTTCTTTGTCTCTTGATCATCTCCCCTTCTTCTTGGCCTATTCATTGTAAATAATTTTTCATCCTTCAGATATCCATTTGAAAATGCCAACTAGTACCTGGCAGTACCCTGAATAATAATGATCCCCTTTCTTTTGCTGCTTTTAAATGTCTTTACTCTTTTTTCCTAATTAGGCTATTGAGAGCAAAATCATTTTACCAGGTTTTCAAAGAAATGGTTTTTAATTTATTGATCTTTTTGCTGCCTTTCATTGTGTTTTCTATGTTAGCCATTTTAATTTTTATGTATATTAATTCCTACCTCATTAGTTTTTCATTTATTCCTCTGTGATATGCCCTCCCCACCCGTCTCCTCCCCACCACACACACACTTTGAGAGTAGTACTTGTTTCCTTTTATCTTTCTGCTTTAGTAATGAAAAAGTTTATGGTTATTCATTTTCTTTTGAATACGGTTTTTCTGAGTCCTTTTTGTTTCATTATGAAGTTATGTCTGTCATTAGTTTCTACTTAATTGCTTGTAATTGATACAAGAATTATTAAGGAATATATTTCTTAATCCATTTTTTCATTTTTATGACATATATATTTTGGAGGTATGATCAGATAATGTGTCCTCTAAAATATTAAAGAGAATCTCTAAATTAAAGTTAAAGTTTTCATTATGGCCACATACTTCATCAAATTTTGTAAATCTATAGACATTTAAGAATTATGTATAGTGTTGAAAGGATTCACATAGAGCTTTACATATATGTATATACAGATTATACTATTCAGTACCTTTATTTCCTTATATGTTTTCTACTTGATCTCCCCATTTTAAAATGAATAAGATTTCATACTTTAATTGTATTATTATGAAAGTCTTTTGCATTACTAGTATTCTTTGCTTTATCTGTTTGGTATTTACAGGTTTATGAATATAACATTCTTCATAAATTCTAACCATTAATGTCTCTCTTACCCACATATATTTGATCCTTTGAATCTTACTTTGATATTACTATTGCCAGTATTTCTTTCTTGCTAACATTTTCCTTGTGATCTTTGCATCATCTGGTTCAAGCATATTTCCTGAAAACACTGTATAGCTAGGTTTTTTTAAAAGGTTTATTTATCTGTTTATTTGAAAGGAAGAGCTGCAGAGAAGCAGAGGCAGAGAGAGAGCGAGAGAAAGAAAGGTCTTCCATCCGCTGGTTCACTCTCCAAATGGCTTCCATGGCTAAAGCTGGGCCAATCTAAAGTCAGGAGCCAGGAGCTTCTTCAGGGTCTCCCATGTAGGTGCAAGGGCCCAAAGACTTGGGCCATCTTCTGCTTTTCCAGGCCACAGCAGAGAGCTGGCTCATAAGTGGAGCAGCCAAATCTCAAACAAGCACCCATATGGGATGCCTGCAATGCAGGCAGTGGCTTTACCTGCTACACCATAGTGCCAGCCCCATAGCTAGGTTTTTTAAAAATCTATGTAAAGGGGCTGGTGCTGTGGCATAGCAGGTGAAGCCGCTACCTGCAGTGTCAGCATCCCATGTGGGCACTGATTCAAGTCCCAGCTGCTCCACTTCCAATCCATCTCTCTCCTATGGCCTAGGAGAGCAGTAGAAGATGGCCCAAGTCCTTGGGCCCCTGTACCCACGTGGAAAGACCTGGAGGAAGCTCCTGGCTCCTGGCTTCAGATTGGCACAACTCTGTCCATCGTGGCCAATTGGGGAATAAACCAGCAGATGGAAGACCTCTCTCTCTCTACCTCTCCTTTCTCTGTGTAATAAATAAATAAATCTATTAAAAAGCTGTGTAAGAATTTTTCCCTTTGAATTGTTATTCATTTTGTTCAAATTTATTGTACTGGATATACTTAATGTTATTTTCTTCAATTTATATTATGTTTATGATTTATTTTCCACTATTTATTTTTTCTAATATTTATTTATATTGCTTTGTTCAAATTGTCACTCATTGTATTTGTTGCCTCCTTTATGTATTGTAGCTCCAGAGGAGATTCTCATTCCTTTAATTCTTACATCTCCCATCCTCTTATTCACTGTCATACTTACATATGACTTAACTACTAATGGCCACAAATACTGCTTTAATCCGCATCAAATACCCTTCCCCACCAGACATTGTATTTCACCCCATCTCTTCCCCCAGCACACATACATAATACCAATAGACTGACACCTGTAGAACACTCTTACTCCTACCACTTCCCCGACACTCCACTATGAGCTCTTTACTTCTCCAACTATGCATTCCCGAGCCTCACACTAGCTCCTAGTTTTTGCAGAGATAATTTAGTACTGATTTGAATTTCTCTTACATCATCTACCTTCTATTTTAAGAGTCTTTATCTTCCACTTATAGCTTCCATGATAGTTATAGCTTCCATGATAGTTTTTGAATTTATAAAGAAGAAAAAAGCTTCTGTTCTGGCATCCCTGTGCTTCCATCATCTCAGGAGCGTGAACATTTCTGACCACTTGCTTTCCTTCTCTTGGACTTTTAGGAGTCATGGAAAGCAGGAACACTCTCATGCTGGCCTTTATTGGCCTTCATCAGGGTCTTCAGAATTTCAAGTTCCAAGTTCTTCCCAAGATCTACTGCTTTCCACTTCTGTACAAGGCTTAGACACCTTTCTGGCACACTCCTAATCCATAGGGGAGAGAGTTCCATGCCGATTATTTCCTCTAGGATGCAATTAGAGGCCAGATGTTGACATATCCCCAGCAAACTCTCAAGACCAGAAACATTTGACTCTCAAAAAACCAGGGCAGGCTTTACAGCATAGCCCCATGTAAGCGCTGGTTCACTGTAGCCATCTGGGGAGTGAACATGGAAGATATCTCTTTCCCGCTCTCTTTCCTGTAACTCTGACTTTTAAAATAAATCTTTGAAAGACAAAGAGCTTAGAGGTTGTAGTAAAAGGGACCTGACCCACATTCATGTCTCCAAGTTTGCCAAAGCCCTTCCAAATTTTTTATTAAATTAAACATAAAAATATATGAATAACATTACATGTAAAAGAAAATTTCTTTTATCACGTGCAATGTTTGAACTCCTGTTAATGGATTCCTCCTCAGTCGAAATGAAATGGGATATCTTGATGGAAGAGAACTCTCAGAACTTGTAGTACTCAGTGGAAATGTCCAATTGGTCTGTAGTAGATATCCCTGTCATCCTGAGTCTGGATTTCCCAGTTATAAACTAGCTAGGCAAAGAATATGAACAAAGAACTCAGTTGAATCTCTTCATTTGATTATTATTTATAGCCCTTGCCTATTTTTGTGCTGAATTATAGTCTTCTTACTTTTTATTTGTGGAACACTTTATTTAGTGGAGCATTAAGCATTTTTAATGCAAATTAAAAATGTTATCTCAAAAATAAAAAATAAATTACTAAAAAGATAAAAATAAATTTATATAATCATAAAAAATGTAGCTGAATCCTTACCATAGCAAGCCCTATACAAACCCAAGTCAAAAATAGTAATCTCTTTCAAAGATCCCATCTTTTTTTCCATGATGACTTTGGTTACCTGTAGTATGTTCAATGGAACCAACACACATTTTCTATACTGCTCATTTGTAGCTGGTGTTGCCATAGAAATTGTTATTGGCCAGAAATACTTTCATGGATGTGAATTAAAGACTAAAGTGCTTCTCACCACAGAATTAGCAACATTATTGAAAATTGATATATTTTGCTGATCATTTTACTGGTGCTTTATGGCTACTCAAAAGAAATGTTTGTTGAAGTCATGAAATGAACTTATTGTTTTCTCTTGTGATTCCTAGATTATAGCTAGATTTTTCTCATCAACAAGTAGAAAGAAATCCTTTTCAGAAATGAAATGACAGGGATTAGTCACTTTTCTTCCATAAGAATATTAATTGTATTCAGAAAATAATTGTTTATTATCACTTGAACCTTCAACTTTTCTACCTTCTGATGAAGGGTGTAGCAAAATGTTAAATTTTCTATAGTAATTAAATAATAATAAACTCTTCTGCTCTGTGCAACATCATTTTCATAGCCTCATTGTCATATTCCTGTACAATTTATTCCTTGTTTTACAGGTAATGGTAAAATTAATCTAGAAAATGTGATGAATGAAATGAGACCTTTCACAGGTGAGTGAGACAATCCAAAACATTTCAATACTAACTCTGTTATATTCTGCATGGTATTTTCCCAATAGTAAATCATAAATTTAGTAATGCTAATATTTTATACATTTTAGTGAAATATCTGCATTCAGTTTTTCCTAAACTTTTGAATTTGTATTCTTTAGAGTTCAGCAATAAAAGCAAATGGTGATATTTGAATAATAAGTTATATTTTGTGGAGGTTCTCACAATAGTATGCTTATCTTAACTAGTATTTTAATTAGATGTCACAAATTGGCCAACTATGAAATGAATCTAAATTTTTGTCAAGTTTTATAAAGTCTGACAACACTATATCTGCATTGTCATACAATAATAACTGGTGATTTTTCTCTCTGAACAAAACATATGCACTCCACTCACAGCCAACCTAACTCATTCCTTCTGCCTCAGGCTCTTAAAAGCTTCTAACTTAGTCAAAAATTTTAATAGCCTAGGTAGGCACAGAAAATATAGGAAGATGACCATTCTTAAAGGATTATTGGTAAGATTGCTTTAAATAACAATCACATGATACACCACTGAAAAGAAAAACAGGCTAGATGATCCTGAATTACTGGCTGATTATATAATCTGATTTGCTTCAGAGCTAGAATGCCTTGACAATAAGCTTAAAAGACTGTTATCTCTTTATATGAAAAAATCAAGGAATAAATTCTGTCTCATCCTTAAGCACTATTGGAATATGTGAAAATGTGAAAGTGAGGATGGCATTATGAAGGCTAGCTTTTCTATTTTTGTAAATCATTATAATATCCCAAAGTTACCATGTGTCAATAATACTTTTTTTCTTTCAAAGGAGACAAAATTGATACAAATAAACTTACGAGTGTTTTAGAAAATATGGGGATTGAGCTCACACCAGATGAGCACTTGAACTTATTAAAGACATTACCAGTTGATGGTAAGTTTTAAGGATATCATCTGGGCTTTTAGGTAGCCTGGTTTTATGACTGAAAGCTTTAAAACCAAAATAAAATCTGTTAGAAATTAATGCTAATAAGCCTTACTTTTTTAAAAAGATTTATTTATTTGAAGGGCAGATTTACAGAGAAGGAGAGAGTGAGGCAGATACAGAGAGATCTTCCATCTGCTGGTTCACTCCCCAAATGGCCACAACGGCCAGGGCTGGGCCCAGGCCAAAGCCAGGAGCCAGGAGCTTCTTCTGGGTCTCCCGTGTTGGTGCAGGGGCCTAAGTACTTGGGCCATCTTCCACTGTTTTCCCAGGTGCATTAGCAGGGAACTATATCTGAAATGGAGCAGCCAGGACTCAAACAGACATCCATATGGGATGCCAATACTGCAGGTGGTGGCTTAACCCTCTACACCACAGTGCCGACTCCCAAGAAAAACTTTAAACATTTAGATTTAATTTTTAAATCTTCAAACCTTTCAGTAATTTATTTCTAAATTTATTGCTAATTTATTGTAAAGTTCATTTCTCATACATTGAGGTTGCCAATCAGATGGACTGGAAAAAAAATTAAAAACTAAATAAAAAGAATAAGAAAGTAAAAAGTTAGGGAGGGAGAGAAGCAGGCATAGCAACACCATAAAAAGAAACTAATAATATAGTTTCATATTATGATTTGCATTTCCCTCATGTACCATTTAGAATGAAAATGTATGCTGTTTCTATTACCTATTTGCATTTGAAGGGTTCTTTAGGTAAAGATTTTAAAAGTTTTTCTCTCAAAAAGATATGTGTATTCTTTTCTAACTATTTTCAAAACATCCTATTTTTTAATAGCTAATGGAAAAGTGTATCAGAAAAGGCTTATGAAGGCCATAAAGTCTCTCAAACGTGAGTAAGAATAACAATGAAAAAGCTTAATCTTAAATTCTTACTTGAATTATTAAAATATAAATCCCCCTTTCCTATGTAACTGAGTCCCTATTTACATTTCATTTGGTAGATCTATAATTAACTAAGTAGTTTCCTGTTCTATGATTTAGTAGAAAGTATTAGACTTTCTTGGATTTTCTCCCCTCATTTCCAAAGGAAAAAATTTTTTAAAAGCAAAGCAAAAAATGAAGAATGAAAGCTGCCATAAGGATCTCAATCAAAAGAGATAAATAATTTGCAAGTATGGGGAACAAAAACAATTCTGGTTTTATAGAATAGTATGTCAGTCATCTTCAGCTGTAGCTTTTCAACCTTCATTAAGAGTATTTCCCACTATATCTCATAAATATGTACAACTACTACATATCAATTAAAATAAAGGATATTTTTGCTCTGTAGTCATGTTCCCAGCACAACCTTTGAGGGAACTATTTCTAATTTTTGTTCTTCTACTAACGTGACAAGACTGAAGTTTTGGTGTTTGCCTTGAAATCTTAATAATACTAATAAATTTTTATTTTAATTATAATAAAGCCACATTCTCAGTAAAGAAAAAATAATAACATGGCAGTGTGGGTGAATGGTCTAGGTTTAGAAGCATTCTATTTCATTAGATTCATTTTTTGTCTTTCTCTTAGGAGGCAATATTGATGTTGATAAACTAGACACTCTCTTAGAAAACATGGGAATCAAAACCACAGAAAAAGAGTTCATGGATCTCACAGAAAGACTGCCCAATGATGGTGAGCCTTGTAATCATGTCTATACTTCCTAAGAAGACATTCTTTTAGACTTCAAAACAGAATTTCTCCAATCAGGTTGTCAAAGTATCAGTGATTTGTCAAAAGCTAAGAGAAGACTCAGTCTTAAGAAAAATCCTTTTTCTTATTTCCATTGATTTAAAATCCAATTTCTTCCTCCACAGATACTAAACATGATATAAAATAAAGCCAGAGAGTGATCAAGAAATAGAATCCAAAATGGGAAGGGAAGATTTATAAAGAGATCACCTCACATTTCTTCTCCCAAAGTTTATGGTTCCCACATTCACCACTTGATTTAAAGATACTCTTATATAGCTAGTGGGAACATCCAAGTAGACAAATGCAATGTTTACCACTCAGCTTTTTCTTGCATTAACTCTGTCACCTTTAATGATATCAAGTTTTTTCCTTTATTGGAACTCTCTATGTTCCCAACTGCTATAAATTCATACTCTCCAAAATTTTCCTCTTATCTGCCTTTCCTATAGGAAAGTCACTTTTTTTTATTTTGTGGGCTTCTCTGCCTCCCCTCACACCAGTGTATTGAATATTTTAATGTAATAGTATGATCAAGAATAGAAATATTAGAGTGCATGTCACACAATAAGGCTAGATATTGTGTTTCACAAATATTTTGATCAGAGGTGTGTTTGTTCATAGTTGTTAATGTCATTTACAATAAAAATAATTTTAGAAACACTAGCTTAAATAATAGTATTAGCAGTTCTGTTCTTTCTACAACCATATTTTTCCTGGGTGAGCTAAAATATTTTAACTTAAACCTAGACTTACCACATTAATTTTAATCTAGGTCAGTAAATTCACTCTAAATAGCATGATTGGTACAAGCATTTTTGTCAGATAATCTAAAAATTCAGATACAACAAGGAATCATAAAATATAATGTACATTAAACATTTTATTTGAATGGAAACAAATAGAGTCAAGGCCATTTTTATTTTAATGTGGGTGTGTTCTTTGAGATTGTCTTGTATGAACATACTTATTTATCATCTATACTCCCAATTTTAGTTTTTTGAAGAACAAAGTGCTCCTTAAATAATTGAATTTTCAATCAAAATTTGCCTAGGTTTTACTTTCTTCACCAACCTTTTAACTATTATCTATATCAAATTCAATAGAACTTTTTTAGCAATTCTTTGTTGCCACATCTTTCCAAATCATTCAGAATTGTTTAATGAGAGAAATTCCCTTTCTTACTTATAGTTCATAATTTTTATAAGTATTAAATTATCACAAATTTGATAAAAAGTAGATCTATTTATAAACAAGTCTCAAAGCACACTCAGCAACTCAACCCAAAAGAACACAAATGCACTGGATTACTAAAAGTATAGCTTACTAGCTATGAACGTTTGGAAAGCCATCAGCATCAGTCTGAATGTAAGAGTTCAGGAATGGAGTCCCAAATGGCGGTATAGCAACAGGAGGATCCAAGTCACATAGAGCAAAATAGATAGTTAAAAAGGAGAGAAGATACACGCTGGAGATAGAGCTGTGGGAAATTCTTGATGGAAAGCCCAGGAGAGCAAGAGAAACTGAGCATGTCCATGCTGAAAGAGCGAATAAGAAAGGGAAGTGGCGGAGGCTCAGACCGCAGAGGTTGGTGCCAGCCCCTAGTGGACCAGGTGAGATGGGAAATCATTGGTCCATGGGGCTGCAAATAGCAGCAGGAGGGAGAGCTTGGTGAACTGCTTTTGAAGTTCCATGTGGGAAAAAGAGAAGGTATAGAGGAATAAACACAGAGGTCTGGCACCTCTCTGCCCTCTCTGTCCTACCCACATCTGGATCTGCAGCCAGCTGGGAGAAGCCATTTGTTTGTTTACATTTTCTAATGTAAAACAGGAACTGCCACCTTTGCCTCCTTCGTGCATGCCCACCAATTGTGGGGCCCACATCACCACACCCCACACCCAGGAATGAAGACCACAACATTTCAGAAGAATTTCTTCCCCATCACACAAGCTGTACAATAAGAAGTCCTGAATATCTAAAACTCAAGCCTACTCCATCCACCATTGAGAAACAAACTGGGCTACACTACAGTAAACGGGGCTCTGTGCACCGGAGCTTGTATCTACATCCACAACAATTGAGAAGTGAGCTCCAGTAGGTAGGGCTCTGTGCTGCCACTTGACGCACAGACATGTAGCAGCTCCTAACAGAGGGAAACCTCACCACGAGAAAATCTCCACAGATTAGAGGTACAGTTCATTAAGCAGGGCACTATAACCCTGAATACACCAGAGACTAACACCAGGGCATCTCACAATTGTGAGAAAAAGGGCGGGTCACGACAATAGAAGTGAACAACCTCCTCTAACCAAAAACCCAGAGAAAAGCTATAAAACCCAATGGGGGCCTTGCATTGGATACTCCCTCCACCCAGGAACAGTGACCAGAGCACCCAGGCCACAGCCAACACATACTTCTTGGAACTCACTGAAAGTATAAACATCCCACTAAATCACAGACACAAATTAAAGAGAAAAGCAAACAGACCAAAAAAAAAAAAAAAAAAAAAAGAGAGAGAGAGAGGGAAGAAAGAAAAAGTACACAAATGCCAAAAAACAAAGTAAAAAAACTAAATAACAATAAGGAAGACACTATGAGCCCCCAAAAAGAACACTATAATTCTTCAATAATAGAAGATGAAGATGAAGAGATGGAGGATAGGCCAGAAATGCAGATCAGAAGCTAATCGTCAGATTACTCAGAAGCAATCAGAAGAAAATACATGATCTAAATGAAAAGTTCTCCCAAGAAATTGAAATATTAAACAGAAGTCAGGGGGCTGGCACTAGGGCGCAGTGGGGTAAAGCCCTGGTCTGAAGTGCTGGCATCCCATATGGGCCCTGGTTCTGTTCCCAGCTGCTCCTTTTCCAACCCAGCTCTCTGATAAGTCCTGGGAAATCAATACAAGATGCTCCAAGTCCTTGGGCCCCTGCACCCACATGGGAGACCCAGAAGAAGCTCCTGGCTCCTGGCTTCAGATCAGCGCCACTCCAGCCATTGCAGCCAATTGGGGAGTGAACCATCAGATGGAAGACCTCTTTCTCTGTATCTACCACTCTCTGTAACTCTGACTTTAAAAACAAATCAAATCTTTAAAAAAAAAAAAAAAGAGAGAAGTCAGAATGAAATATTAGAAATGAAGAATTCAATAGATCAAATAAAAAATGCAATAGAAAGCCTTAACAATAGAATAGGTAAGTTTGGCAGTTCCAAGATGGTGGAATAAGGAGGGAGCTTACTGATCTAGTCCAGGAGAAGATACTTTAATAAAAGAGGAGATAGGCGGGCGCCATGGCTCAATAAGCTAATTCTCCACCTGCGATGCCAGCACCCCAGGTTCTATTCCCGGTCAGGGCACCAGATTCTGTCCCGGTTGCTCCTCCTTCTGTCCAACTCTCTGCTATGGCCCGGGAATGCAGTGGAAGATGGCCCAAGTGCTTGGGCCCTGCACCCGCATGGGAGACCTGGAGAAACACCTGGCTCCTGGCTACGGATCAGCATGGTACAAAGGCCACAGCGCGCCGACTGCAGTGGCCATTGAGGGGTGAACCAACGGAAAAAGGAAGACCTTTCTCTCTGTCTCTCTCTCTCACTGTCCATTCTGCATGTCAAAAATAAATAAATAAATAAATAAATGAGGAGATAGTGTAGTCTTAGGGAAGAGTTAGGAAAAAAAAAAAACGGCAGAGGAAACTCTTCCATAATTAGAGGGACACAGTGGACCTACATGGAGGGCGTGGGCACCCACAGCTTGGGACTCCAGCTGCCAAGAGCCTCCACACAGCACTGGAAAGTGAGGTGAGACAAGACCACAGTAGCCCAAGGCACTGGCAGAAAAGTGTCAGGAAGAACCTAGAGGGAACAAGGCTTGTAGCCCCATGGGAGAAAGTACACCAACCTAACTAGAGGAGAGAAAAAATAAAAGGGATAGTACAGACACGATTTTCTCTCTCTACTCACCTTACAAAGGTGTATGATCCAATAGAGCAGTTGCCATTTTGGACATATGTAACAGCTGTGCCAACTTGTGTCTGCACCTAGCAATCAGCTGTCGCTCCCTTGCCCGCAAAGGAACAACACTGCTCGCAGCTTATCGGTCTTCAGTAGACTTTTAATAAGAAAATAACAGCAACAGAGAAAGAATGAAGGGAGGAGAGTGGACAGAAAAGCCCCCTCCTTTCTCAGCACACAGCTTATATACAAAATCCGGCCAATTGCAAGCGGGCTCAAGTCCATGTACGGAACACTCCAATCCGCTGTTTGTTCACGCAGTGTGCACGCGTCCTCGGGCCAATCAGATGAGGTGTCACGCAGCAGGCAGCCTCACTGCATAGTCCTCGGCGCCATCTTGTTGTTTACAAGACAGGCTCAATTCCTCTGGAAAGTCCCGACCATAGGAAAGCATTGCCCTAACCGAAACTAGCAACATCCGCCTTGTGATAAAGACACAGCAGCAGCTATCAGACCGACCCTGACATGGGGGCTTCATGGCTGGCCATCCCAGAGAGCCCCACAATCAGCCAAGTGGAGAAACCTGATTCTGGTAGGGAGAGAAAGCAGGCAGCTAGGAACTTGTAACGTGTGACGCTTCTGAACCAGGACTATGAAGAAAAAAAAAAAACTGAGGGGGTGTGGGAGAACTCACGGTGTGGCTGAGACTTTGAGTAGTCTCGGTGGGAGATGCCACAAGCTCAGGCAGTCCTGGCTATCCAGTGAGAAACATCGCAGGGAAATCTGAACTTACACTGAGGACTGCACAGATCCTTTGTGTGGTCCTTGGCACAGAGCAGACAATATTATATGCTCTGGGGCTAGTGCTCAGGCACTGATCACCATTAAGAAGAGCTCAGCTGAGCGAATTACTTCCCTTTTGATTAAAAAGAGAGAGAGGTAGAAAGAGATCTACCGTGCCAAAACTGGGTGTGTCACCTTAGGCACGCCCT